TAGTTAAATCTTAAATTTTATGCAGAAATAATATCATCATTATTCCTCGTAATCTCCATCATTCAAGAATTCAATGTTGTAACAAAAAAAAAATTATGATATGAACTCATTCAAGCTTAACAAATAAAAGTATGTTACATGTCAGCAACCATGTGCAGCATTTATAACATTGCAAAAAAAAGGAAGAACACAAGACAGTTTAATCTCTAAAAAAAAAAAAAAAGAAGAAGAATATACACTTCAATCACTTAAGTTTACTTGAAGTTCAATAATTTTTTAGAGTTTTTGTTAGTTAAGAATCCAGTTGTACAAACAGTGCATAAAAATTGATCAGCATAAACTTTTTTTTTTTATTTTTTTTTTATGGAGAAATAACCGACATGTAGTTTTTTTTCTTCTTCTTGGTTAGTAGTTGAACGACGATATCATTAATTGTCCCTACTGTGAGTGGAAAGAGAAATTTCACAAATTGATAGCACAAGGAAACTGGAAAAAGGGCAACGTAGAAAGTTAACCAAGAAAGTTCGACACGCAACACGTTAGATTTTTCATATATTTGCACAAGGCAGATAGACAGCTACGGAGTGTTTGACTTTGGTTAAGAAAGGAAGCCTAGTTTTCATTTGATGCATAAAATTGTTTTCCAGAAGCTACAAATTTACTAATTACATGGATAACATAAGCCCAAGTCATGCATACCTTTTATGCTATAAACTAACTTATTAAATCACAAACCAACAAACAGATCGGTAGTTGCAAAATTAAAGCTCTTGCAATACATTTTTCTAGCAATCCAAAGTCAACAAAAGTATAACAAATTTGTAGGGAAAAAAAAAAACAGAAATTACTGATTTGTATGCTTGTATCTTTATGATTATTAAATTTTAAAAAGTGTGCAATAAGTTCTTAAATTTTTTATTTTGTGTCTAAAAAAATTCAAAGTTGAAATTTTAAAATTTTATTAAGCATAAAACTCAATTTTATACTTAGAAAATTAATTACTTTTTAAAATGTTAAATATGTTTTGAAAACTTATTTACCTGTTTAAGATTCAAATAGTAATTAGATACTTTTAAAAATTAAATAAATTTAAGGTTAAAAGCTAAATTTGTAATTTAAATTTATAAAAGTTTTAAAATAAAAACAAATAAACAGATGTCACACGAAAACTAATAATCTTCTTAATAATGAGGCAACAGTCGTGTTATAGTGGAGGCTATGGTACCTTGCTACACCTCTGTACTTCGAAACCCCGCGAGAAAAGCCGCTACTCTTCCTGTGGATTGAACTCATAAAAATGGATATGGATTCTAATTTAAGGTTTAAGCAGAAATAAAATCTCTGGAAATGGTAATTACCTTCTCAAATATCCAATATACTCCTCTCTTGATTGACCTTCCATTTCTTTAAGCTCGTCTTGGTACGTTAATAGCTACAAACAATAAGATCAGAGGACTTGAACAGATGATCTTCAACCAATTTCTTGATTTCCTCATAGGCAAAAGAATAAATAAATAAATAAATAAAATAAACAAGTGAATGCGGAACAACAAACGATCAATTGGAAAATTACTGGAAAGTTCAGAACAGTTTCAGTTCCCCAGTACTTGAGCGCAGCAAGGTCGTAAGCATGAGCCGCTGCTTCTTCATCATCATACGCTCCTGTAGATCAGAAGAAAACAACAGTACACATACTTACACCGATCACTCTGTTTCAAGGTTAAATCGCAAGTCAAAGTTCAAATCGCAGAAATACCTAAATACACTGCGCGTTTCGGTTCAGATTCCATGAATAAACCACCGCACCGCAATACAGAGGCATAAATCAAAAGATCAAAGAACAGTAAAATCAGGATCGCAACCAAACATCACAGATTGAAAGAGAAAAAAACAGATTACAGAACCTTGTCTTCCTTTCTTATTCTGTCCTTCATTCCAGCAATTCTTATCCCACAAATGCGCCTCATACCGTCCCGTCCATCTATGCCTAAAGTAAACCAAATCGATTCAAGAGAAAAAAAAAAAAAATCAACCGATTGAATAGCTTTTAAGTTTTAACCAAACCGATAATGGCTAACCTGGTGACTCCGCGGTATACAGAGCTACGCTGAGCGGGAGCATCTCGAGGAGTGGACTTACGCGTACGCTTGAGTACCTTCTTCTGGCTGTGATGGACTGTAGAAGACTGAGAATTAGCGGTGGTAGAAATGGAATTCTTGTGCGGCGGATGTGAGATCTTGGCCATTAAAGCAAGCGAGAAGGAGACGGAGTGGGAAGAGGGAAGTACGTGAAGTAGCGGAAGAAAGAGGGAGAGTAAATGACCGAGTCATCCAATGGAAAAGGGCAAATTTAAAAGGGAAGGGAAAAGAAAGAATAAGCAAATATATAGGGCGACAGATGGGAGCTGTTTGTTTGTTTGGTATTGGTATATTTGGTATCGATAGTGTAAAGCCAGCAGAAGAGGAGGTCGGTTTTTAAATCGTATGGCCGTCTTTCTAATTATGCGCTTTCATTTTCTTTTTCTTTTTCTTTTTTCTCACCTATTTTCCCTACTTCCTCTCCCAATTTTTAAAGTCTCTATTAATATTTCAAATAAAAAATAATAATAATAATAATAATATTTATTTTTAAATACATATAACTCTAAATAGTTTTCTATGAAAATAATAAATCATATGGTTTTCTATTGGTTTGAGGTTTATATGTCCCCTAATATATCGGATTTATAATTAAATTTTGAATTTTAATTAAAATATTTATTATTTGATCTAAAGTTAAGCTTGATTATGAAGATGATTTAATGTTAACATACACGTTTTTTTACATTGAAAAAAGAGGGATTAAAACTAAGTGAAATTATTGGATGCATAAATTACATAAAATCTCCATGAGAGAGGGTGCCATGACATCAACACACTAGCCATTATTTTCCTAAATCCCTCTTCTTTTCCTTTCAAAATTATAATAATTTTTTTAAAAAAAAATATGTAGCTGAGAATTTTAATTGTTAGTTGTATCTACTTTAATTGATTCGAAAATAAATATAAAAATATTTTTAAAGTTGAGATTAGAAGGTTTGATTTTTCGAGATAACTATCTATCGTGTGCGTGCAAAGCAAAGGTCCTGAAACGCTTCATTTATACACGAGATTATACTCCAATAGTTGTTAAATGAGCACGACTCTCCATAATGGTATGATATTGTCCACTTTGAGCATAAGCTCTCAATCGCTCTGCTTTTGACTTCCCAAGAGGCCTCGTACTAATGGAGAGAGTATTCCTGGATTATAAACTCATGATCGTTCCCTAAATTAACCAATGTGGGGGCTTTCATCATCCAACAAAATAGAGCAAGGTTAGGTTGACTCGACCAAAAAAATATGAACCCGCGAACCAATTAAATTTTGATTCTCTAAAAATTCAACTCAACCTAAACAAACAAAGGAAAGAAAAATTATTAATTAAATAACGAGGTGATTTGTGGTAACAAATTTCTTACCATAAAAGAAGTGAAGCAGTAAAGTAATAAAATTTATATATAATTTGGTTAATAATTTAAAAGTAAGGTAGATGTTAATGTAACAAAAGGAGTGGAGTATTAGGAATAAATAAATTTATAATATAGTGTAGCAATTTAATGAAACTGAGAATATTTGGAATAATTATTAAAAACGTGTATTAAAAATTAGGAGGTTGAAAAGGATAGTGAATAAATTAAGGGAGGATAAGCGAATCAAATCTAAAGTGTGGGCTTATAAATTGCTCATACTTTTTGGTAAGCCTCATTGATTGAAGGAATGAAGCTGAATTTTAATTATTAAAAAATTAACCCCACAAAATACATATTATTTTCAATTAATAAATAAAATAATTTCCAATGTCATCACCTTTATGTCTCCACATTTTTTCTGGTAGGTTTGGAGTTGGTTGAACAAATCACACAACTTGATTAATTTAATACCAATTCAATGATTTTTTTTTTTTTTTTATTGTTATTATTATTTTTTTGCTAATTTAATTCTTAAAATTATTTTTTTGACTTTCTTGTTTTTTGGTGGGAGCATTTTTTAATTCAAATTATTTTTTAATGTCTTTTTTTTGTTATAATTAGGTTAGAATTAGATAGATAAAACTATATTGTAAATAAATATGCAAAAAATAATAGAAAAGAGAATTGTGACAAACAAAATATATATATAAATTTCTCTAAATTAGTTTTTGGGAGTATTTAAATTATTTTATATTTTAACGACGGGATACGAGATAAAATTTTAAGAGAATTACACGACAAAAATATATATATATTAAGTTATTGCATAAAAGTAGATCGATATTTCTACTTATACTTAATTATATTATTTATTTTTTGTATTGATTAAATTCTAAAAAAAACTAATTACATTCTTGTAATGTGCTATGACACCCGAGTATATGAGAGTATATGAATGAATCGAAAATTACATCCGAATGTGAATGATTTTGAAGATATGATAGTTAAAAATGCTTTAAAAAATTGAAGTTACTGTCTATGATAATAAGGTGTGTTAGGAATCACGACTCTCCACAATGATATGATATTGTCTACTTTTAGTATAAGCTCTCGTAACTTTGCTCACAACTCTCCAGAATGATATGATACTCATGACTTTGCTTTAGGCTTCCCCAAAAGGAACTATATAGAATGATATGATATTGTCCATTTTCATTTCAGTGTAAGCTCTCATCACTTTACTTTGGGCTTCCCCGAAAGGCCTTGTAGCAAAAGAATATTCTTTGATTATAAACCTATGACCATTCCCTAAATGATCGGTCGTACTAATGGACAGAATATTCTTTAATTATAAACATATGACCATTCCCTAAATTAGCGGATGTGAGAGTTACATCATTCAATAAGGTGAACCTTCTTTTTCGATAGTTTAATCATAAAATCTATAAATTAAGAATGATATGCTCAGAACAAATTTATATTAAAAAATTCAATTTTTCGAGACAGAAAATGGAATTTGAAAATAGGCGGATGAATTAATTGCAATATTTGAAATGAAATGTACAAATTAGAAGACAAACAAAAAATGAAATATACAAATCCAAATTCTCACCCTTTTTTTATTTTGTTACCGAGAGGAAACGAGACAATTCCCCGCTCTGTCTGTAATAAACAAAATTTTCCGGGAAAATCCGTTCCACTTTCCCGGAAAATCCTCTCTGGGCTAGAAACCGCAAGGCTCCGCTGCAAAACCCACCGTGGATTCCTTGGAATTATAAACAACCCTCTGATTCTTCTGCTGGTAATTCCCGATTATCATACTCTGATCTTCATAACCCAAACTCGCAAACGCCAAACAGATCTGAGAAGCGTCGGATTTCACAAAGTAAAAAACCCCTTCAACATCCACAGTCATTTCCGCATTCCCTTCGAAGTAAAATTTCACCGTGGGAATATTCACCTCTTTAAACCCAGTGAGGTTAAAACAAGTGTTCAGAATCGAGAATCCTGGCGCTGTTTGAAACCCAGAAAATTGCTTCTCAAATTCCGCTTTGAAAGCTCTGTAAATCGATGGAGTTAATCTGGTAATCACAGTCCCTGAATCGATTAAACTCAAAGCCCCGTTGTTTGACACACCCAGATTTACCCCACCGATGGTAATTCCTGTGAGATTCAGAAAGTAAAAATTTGGCATCTGAGGATTTGAGACCATTCTTGTGTAGGAAATTGGAGAAACGTTTCTGAAATTTGAGAAATCGCCGCCGCCCATTGTTAAAGAACCAGAAGCTCCGGCGCCGGTTGAAGGCAAACAGTAGGAAAAAATTCCGTCAAAAACAGAGGAAGTTTGAGAAACGAGAGATAATTTACTCCGACCTAAACCCATTAATCCCGAAGCGCCGCCGAACAACCCCTTGTTATTCCGGCCACACCCAAATATGAAATTATCGATAACGATTTCCCCTAAATTCAGCCTCTCAAATCCAAGTTCTCCGCGGGAATAAGACCCATCGCCGTAGTTAATCTCGTAACCGCAGGAGCTTGAATTTCCGTTCCCACAGAGGCCGGAATTTCCGGTGGCCGGAGGAAGAGCCAAACAGGTGGGGGAATTGCAAGAAAGGGAAAGAAACGAAGAGGAATTTGAGGGATCGAAGAGGGGTTCTTGTTGGTTGTAACAGAGGCGGCAAGGGCGGCATTGGACCCAAGTGAGGTCGCTGCCGGTGTCGACGATGAGAGTCGAATCCCGGCCGCCGAGAGCGACGGTGACGATGTAATTGAGGGTTTGGAGCCTGGTGCCGGAGGACAAGGGGATTTGGGAGTCGGAGATTTGGTGGGTGTCGCCGGAAAAAATGGCGGATTTGATTCGTGATTGAAGAGATTGGACGTGAATGGCGTCGGAGATTAAGCGGTTTTGAAGATTCTTTTGCCAGTCCGTGACTTCGCCTGAACAATAGTCTTTTTCTTTCATTTCCAATGTCGTTATTCCCTCCCTCACTCCTGAAATTCAAATCCCATAAATTATTTTAAACAAAATATTCTCAAACCTTTAATTTAATTTTCTTTTTAATCTCCAAATTTATTAAAAAATTACTTAATTTTAAATTTTTATCCAATACAATCTTAAACTTACAAAAAAAAAAAAAAAAAAAA